TGATGGCCTTAATTCTTTAATTACCTGATAATTCACCTGCTGGTAATTTTAAAATACTTTCGTGATTGATCATATAGGACTTAATTGTTTTTTAAGCCAAAGTTAAACTCGTTTATATCTGTTTTCTTGTGAGCTATTTATAACCTCTGGGGATCATGGAATATAGTTCCCGCTTTCACCACAGACATTTGTTGTTGCTATTTCTGGCATCCATGTAATCAGCTTGTTTCCTGAATTTAAGTCGTAAGTTTTTCATGTCCGCTAATGATCTAGTTTCTTAAAGTAACCTTAAACGTGTTATTGCCTACGGGGTTTATCCTGCGCATGCCTGTATTTCTTCTAGATACGAACTCGATATCGGCATTCGGCCACAAACGCGGTCGCACTCCTCCGCTTCAGAACATACTCTGTACCCGAGCTATACGATTTCGCCAAGCGTGTGTTCAAATGATGTAACTAGAAATCCTTACTATACTCGCTCTCATCGGAACAAATTGGGTCAACAGCCCGTAGAAGACTTCAGCGAATATTTGCGCAGTTCACCTGGTATAGGTGGTTCGGATAGCCTTACGAACCAAATCTACCGGTACAAGCTTCCTTCTGGTTCGCTAGCTCACTATACCAATGGTACTTGGATTCCGCTTGCAGGATACCAAACCTCAGTGCCATCCGAGTCGTATGAATCGAGACTGCGCAGTGGAACCACCTATTCCACAGTGTCTCGAACAAAACCAGTACGTTTGACATTATACTCACTTCGGGTTTGCTAGCTTTCAATTGAGTACAAAGGGTACAATAATTTTGATCGCTTGACTATCATAAACAATGTCGCTTCAGATGGAATCCCTTTTGGGTTTTTATAGCCTCCGTCTGATTCTGTGTTGAAGGTCATGGTTTCCATAAAGGTGCCTCTGAGTCTTAGCCTATTGCATATTTGAGTGTCTGTCTAGAAAGGCACCAGCTCTTGCTTTTCAAGGCTATTATGTGTAATCGTCACCCTGTAGACTGACTTTCCGCAGCTTCCTGTCTGCGAATAGCGAAGCAAAATTGTTCGTACAAGATTCACGGACTCCCTGCAAGTGATATTCGTGACAGTTTATCCCAAGTTTCTTTAATTCTTTCTGAAAATGATCTGACTGGCTTCAGCTTTGCTGGTTCTTACTCTTTACAGAACCTGGGCCAGCCAGGTTATATACTTCGTGGATAAATATTAGTCTCTTTTACCTGTTGCTCGTGGTGGTCACGTGTCTATACATTGAACCGTATAAACGTGGCGTGGCGTTGTCTGTTGAAACTTGGATGGGCAGCAGCTACTACATTTTATCAGAATTTTCTGAGAGTTACCACAACCTTTTCCACTAAAGAAGTTAGTTCGTTTTTCCCAGTTCAGCAGTCTTCGAGAACCCGTTCAGGCAAGTAAGCTGTTTCACTTGTTTATGCCCTCTGGTCTTTTGACACAAAGCGTGAACACGAATCGCTCATCTTGTCTGATTGATTTGCATGTATGGTGGGTCTGGTTCAAGAAGGTCGAAATTGCCATCGGTAAGAGCTTCGTCCCTTAGGCTGTTGAAATCAGATAAGCAAGCCTAACGGCACCAATAATGCGGTCAAAAAGGAAAATACACTCACATACTGTCTCTCCGGATACTGCGGAGGTTATAACCTACAAGAAATATGTCACGTATTTCTCTGGCCGCTGAATTCCCTGAAAGTTGCTTTTTAAAGTAACCAGTAAGACCATATTATCTATTAGCTTTATGTGTTGTACCTGTAGCGAACATCAAGATGCTTTTATGGGTAGCTGAGAAATTCTTGGCAGAATCATAACCTATCTTCTTGGAGAATAGTTTGTTTGTCTAGTGAACCAGGATATCACGTATGTTGTTGTTGGAGTAGAAACTGAGTTACGTGTCCGTTATTCGCCTAGTTCATCATATGTTTGTCCGCCATCCATGTTGAGGATCCTTCCGCAAGGAACTTTAACTCGTACGTTACATGTATTTGTAGTACCTCGTGGCAGAGTTTTCTGTGTGCGTATACTAGCTATTGGTGCAAGTAACTGAGGGACCATTTCGCTCATCTCTGTATGAATGTCCATATCATTACTCCCGACTTGAGTCGATAGAAGCCGAATTATTGAGCTTGGAGCTGTTTGCGGGTCTGGTTGGTCTTGAACTTCTCTGACCAATGTAAAAACTACTGGGATTTCGTATGCGAGTATCCGGTCATCTTACCCTGCTTGTATCTCCTGAAAATGTTTTATAATCTGCATTCGCTTGCACGTTGCCACATACCGCTGCTCTGTTCCCATTTTGGACAGCAGACACGAAAACGAAAACGCCTTGGCATCTGCTGAACTCCCAGGTACACTCTCCGGTTGCAAGTTTCTCGAATTTCGACTGCCCACCTACCTCTGCATGTTGTAGCTTGTTGTCCACCGTCTTGGTCATGCGTCCCACTGTTTCGTGCATGTGTATTTGCCTTGACTTTGATGTTGTTGTTTGCATGCGTGCGCTTGGTTTACTGTATTATCCAGACAACTCTAAACAGTGAACGCACATCGTGCACCTCGGACCCAGTAACAGGTTTTCGTAGTTAGTGTTCTTTCCTGGTAGCTTCTGTTAATTGAGATCTGACTACATTGTCGTAACATAATATCCCATATGTTTCTCTGTTCTATGTCATCCAGTAGATGGCTTCACTTCTGTTGATCACGTTTCACGAAGGAACACTTTCGAGCAATGACTAAATGAATTTTGTGAGGGACGACTAATATGAACTCCCTCTATACGCCGTGCACGTGGTTTATGAAGACTCCGTTGTTTGCTCATATTCGTATATTTGCTTCAGTCCGACCAATTTGTGTGTCCAAATATTAAGTAAACTTGGGAATGCATAAAAAAAGCGAGCCTATCCAATGATCTCTGAAGTCTGTTGTAGGAATTGAAAATACATTTTTCACGCCACTTCATCCTCCTACGATTTCCTACATAAAGATTACTTCCTCACAGGAACGGATCCTCTATTCCTTGACTATTTTTTAAATTCCATACGGAACCACCTTCAAACAAAAACCCCTCAGTCACGTGTTTGGTGCCCTATAAAAACACAAAGGAACATCTCCGACGCATGCCGGTAATTGTTTTTCACTCTATCCATGAGACCATAGCGGCTGAAACATGCATACTGATTAAACATGAATTTTCAGGGCACGAATAGGGTCATCTCATCATCCGTACGTGAGAGTCGGTTTTTGGCGACTTACCTGGCGCACAGCGTCGTTTCCTCAGGCGTTGACCGCATTCTCGAAAATGAGACAGACCATTCGCCAGATACTCTCATCTGCATAGAGTTTGGTTTTCATGGGGAACTCAACTGAATTGTCTCGTTTATATTGGCCTTTTCTGTAATGTTTTCAGCAACCTTATGCGTAGTGTGTTACGCAAAAACAAAACATATTGCTGTAAGAAGCCGGAAAATTAGACAAATCCTTATTCGTCTACATGCCCTAACTCTCAGACATGACCATTTATACACCGTCCAAATTCGGAACTATCGTTTCCTTGATGAAAGTGGGATAGATTTCTTTGTTCCCAGTTACCGCGGGTTGGTCCCTTTCGGTTATTATTTGTTTGGACGTCCTGTGATCTAAGGTTACATCCTCTTTCTTTGCGTTTGAAATGTCGAGGGTCTGTAGACGCTGCCAGATGGCTTGTATTGTTGTGCATTGTAAAAGTATCTGATGAAGTTTCCAACGAAATTTCATTCCAATGTGCACTACTACTGTCTTTCATCACGCCAGCTGTTATTCTGAGTGAATGGATTTGTTTTTGACTCCATACAAAGTGTCATTTGGGGGAGTGATTGCACTAGCTACCCCCTCGAAATGATCAACGTCCCACTCCCCCTCAGTGTTTTTCCTCCAGTTTCAACTAACCTTGACTTCCTTTGATCGTTATGTACCGGATACCATTCGTTGTTTACGTTCGGATCCAGGCAGCATCTCCTGTTGCGTGAAAGAATCGATGTAGTTGGATATGATATACCAGTCTGATGCTTCAATGAGCAGTCTTTTCTGAAGGACTTTCACAACCAACCGATTGCGTCTTGAGTACAACGCTTTTCAAAATAGCTATTGACGTGTTTCTCAGGATAGCTGTTTGTCATTTGGGCTAGTTAGAAAACTACGTGGGGTCGTAACATGTCTAACTTAGCGGCGTTTGAACTTCGAATTTTCGAGCCTGCACCTCACACAGGGCTCAGTCTGTTCTGTACGAATCGAGCGGATTCACACTAGTTGTGTTTTCATGGTTCAAAAAATGACTGCACAACCAGTATCTCGTGCCTCTTCCGTTGTGTTTTTTATTCCATTTGAAAACAAGGAATCTCTCGCTTTTCATTTTTGGGGCATCTGCTAGCTGGATCTTCAAGTAGCATCCTTGGTTTTTGAATTGCAGACTAGGCCGTAGCATCTTTTTTACTATTAAAAACCAGTGCTGATGTCACATCCAGAATCTTTCTGAAACTGACTGATTCTTCCGCTAGCGGTGGTCGTTTCAACGTCAAGTGGATAGGATACGAGTTTTTGCGTGATTCTGCGTAAGCTTCTGACCCGGAATTTCATTACTTGAATCCATCAGCCTGTTTAGGCTTGAGTAACCTTAGACATTCTCAGTCCTTTTGTTTTCTGGTGTTGTAGATCAACCGTACGCCGAGTACCACGGCCAAATCGCTTAATCTGTTAACTTTTTTGTGCAAAACGACCCATACTCCGATGATAGATTTCCCTCAGATGGTAGGTGATGCTCTTCGATTCAGGGTGTCATCTCAGTCGTCCTTGATTAATTGGCAATCGTTTATCTCCCAAAAGAGCAGTTGGGAGTTTCACCAGCCTTTCTGTATATTGTACCAAGTATTGCATTTTTCGTTCAAAGATGATTGTCCTCATCCTTGCATCGGCTTTTCACAACATAGGACAAAATCGGGTATTGAATTCGTTTGTCACCACAGCAATATCGTTGCGGTTCTCGTTAGATAATTTAAACTATACCAGTCATGCTAACAGAAGTACTTATCAACCTGTTATTCAAACTTGAGCATTATAAATACGACCTGATTGCGAAGGGAAGCGGACATTTCAGAAGCTCATTCGCGTGATCAGCTGCCCAGTAACTCAACTTTGATCTACTCCCCAGCTGCAGTTCGTGACGACTTTGGGTAGACTAGCAGCCAGCATCGCTACTCAAAGTTCATACCAGTCCCAACCGTTAAGGTTAATTTACTGGCTAGCTGATCGTGATGCTTGGCTTCTGGGGTGCTCTTTTCTTACCTCTTATCTTATATGAGCCACAATGGTCTTCGCAGGACGGTCTCTTGGTAAAAGATGTATCTCCGGCACCGCAGAAGGATGGTGATGAGTCGTCAACCCAGGAGATTGTTTGTTGGTGAACTGTTCAAAGACACTATTGGAGATCTAGATCGTTGAGCACGATATCTTCAACAACAGTTCAGTTGATCCTCTGCTTCTGTACCTATGTCTTCTATTCGATCAAATTAGTTCCAATGCCCCCCAAGTTGACGAAGTCCCAATGTCTCTCTACCTTGCAAATCCATCAGCCCACCGGGCCAGATGAGCTTACCCCAGCACTACTTGAAGTGGCTGGTGCCTCTTCTGTCCCAACTAGTTCGACCTTATTTGGGAGCAAAAGTACGTTTCAGAAAACTGAGGTCGATTGATCATCCTACCTGTGCTTCGAAAAAATGCTCGAAGTGGCCACTAACCATAAAGGTATCAGCTTGACGCCTATTCTAATACTGCGGCGCCTAACGCCTGCACGTATGATCGAAATTTGAGAGCAACAAACCGGGTTTCGCCCGGATGAGTGCACTAATCGCATCTTCATGGTTAAATGCTTAAACGTTTTTCATACCACCTTTTAACAATCGCAGTTTTCCCCGGCTTTCAAAGGGCTTCGACTTTGCAGATAGGTTAGTCAAACAAAACGTTGCCAAAGAGGAATGTTTCCAAAGTTGTAAATACACTTCATACTCCCCAATCCCAGACTTATATTTGTGTAAGGGTTTGTGGTTGACTTTCCAGAAGTTTTTCTACAACCAATGGGCTCCCCTTTTCTGGTCACTTTTGTCGCCTATATCATCACGGAGTGAACATTTCAAGTAAGCAATGCTCTTTGTGTCAAAATTACATCTGGAGCAACACCAGGGGACTTGGGCGATATTTTCCTGTTATCTGACGGCCATCAAAGCACACAGTCTACCCTAGATTGAATACCGGATGTGATCTCCGGTTTCAGTAGACATTTCGTAAGTTCAAAGTGCAAGTTATCACTTCTGAATTTTGAGCCCTGCTGTGTCCCTGTGGAACGCCAACCAGAGGAACTTAAGTTTGGTGACCAGTTTATCTATCCGGGAATCTGCCTGAGTTGTGGTTCCAGCGTGACAGAATACATCAGCGAACAAACTGTCAGTGAATTTTTGTCATTCTTGGCATCAGAAGCAAATTTCACTGATGCTTTAGGGCATTTTTACAAGGTAACTGTAACATCAGCAATGACACAGAAGCACTAGGTTGATGTTGTTGGAACACGTAATACTCATGCCCAACTGCGAAACGTTACTTGGTGGTAGGCGGCAACCATGAAGCTTAGAACCGTGAGATCTTTCCGCCTTCCCGACTGGGGTTCACGTGATTCCATATGCATTTTGTTAGAAACCCTACAAAACATGGCACGTGACCGTTCCAGCTGGTGACAATCCTGTCACTTCCTAGTTCGACTGCCCAGCTAAATATTTGTCATTGTGTGGTGAGTTTCGCAAAGAACGTTGGGTCAGTCGACCTGATGACGCCTTACTTCAGTTTGATTGTCAGATGCTTAAATCTCGTTGCTATTTCGAGGTTTCTGGTGCCCTCTTCTAATGACTTTCCGTAGATATTCAGGATTGTGTGCTGTAACTCCCCATCTTTCCCCTTTCCTTCTACTGTTCTGTTCTAGCGGTTATTTACCAATATTTATTACTGGAATTGTTGTGCGTGATGGTTATGATGATGCGCATCGCTGTTCCAACAGCCTATACCGTACTTCATCGGTTGATTGATGGTAACCAGGCCATGATGGGACTACCCGTGTATTGCAGTTGTTACAGGGTTGAATTTAACAACCCAAAGACATTTCACACACCCGCAGCTCGCCTAGCTATATAAACTAAGATTTCATCGTGAATATGTTGATTGAGCTGACGGTCTGAATTACCCATAAACTGGTTTAGCTCTTTGGAGAATGTTTTGTTTCGAATCGTACGAGCATTCACTGGTGGTATCACGTGTCTACATTCCTATCCTTCATTGTAGCCTGGATCTCACTAAAGTTTATTGGTGATGAGAGTGCAGTATACGTTAGGTATTTCACCCTTCGTAATTCCTTCGGTTCGTCTAGCAACTGTGCACCAAAAATGTCATAACCGAACATTTTTTAAACGCCTGTACATCTGTCTGTTGTGCGTTTCGAATATGGTGGGGTTTTATTGATGGTAGGTTGCAAATCTGTTCAGGATTTTCTAGTCCGAGCTAACTGCCACATGCGCAGCTACTTCCATATCTGGCACGTACACTTCTTCTGTCTTGTCCCACTCTTCTGCGTACATAGTTAGCCTTAAATACTGTGGCTACTATACACAAAACCCGCTCGTCGGTAAAAAAAGAAAACACCTAAGTTATCCTTCCCAATTATGTTCTGCTACCGGATTCTGGTCATCCATCCGCAAGTACCACGTGTCTTCAATTTTTTTCCAGCTTGTATCATCCAGACACCGATCGGCATTTTCGACTGTTCTCGTATCGGGTGACATCTAGACCTCCATTGTCATTTGTTCCTATTGGTATATATACTTCCGGAGCGTGGGAAGGACCATTAGAAGAGGACTGAAAGGCAACCAAGGCAGATAAAATTTAGTCGTTCGTTTTTGTATCGCCTGTAGCACTCAGAATTTTCACCTTAGCTGATGTGAGAGGCCCTCAGAACCAGTCGACTGATGTTTAATTTGTCTCCTTTCAGTTGTGATGTTCTTGCTCATGCGATGTGATCTAATTGGAGATATCCTCTTTCCAGACAGTTTTCTGATTAAGACCATGTGTAGACTATACAGGGGGATGTGGGCCCTATCAAAAAGTTTAAAAATGATTACTCCCAAATATTCATAGAGGATTCCGAGAAACCGCTGGACCAACAGTCACAAAACAAGTGACCAAAATGGTATGCATTTCGGTGTGTACGTGTATATATTGGTAGATCCATCGGGAGACGTGCTGCACACTTTTTTAGGCTGTGAATGTTCGCACATCATTTCGAGTCTATCAGTACCGTAGGTTTCTTGCACAAGTTTACAGAACATGAACACACCTTAGTCATTCAAATTCATTTATGCGACCATCCTTTATATGCCAATGGAGCTGTCCAAACACGACCGTAGTTTTTAGGGTGTGTCATGGGTAGTTGTGCGGGCCATATGATTGGGTGCATAACTTAACACACCTTTAAACTGCCTTCAATGGTTCCTACAGGGTTGCACTCAGAACCTGCATTGGCGATATTTTGTTTTCCAAAGCTAGGCTTTTTTACTTTTCAAAGCACGTTGTTCCTTCTGGAAATCAGTTACCAGGAGGGCGGTACAAAAACGTCCCAGTGTCTGACGGTTGCTTTCATCAGATTAACAACGAAGTACAAGAATGAACGAGTTGTCGACCAAAACCCTTTCGTCAAATTCGACCTCATTTATTGTTTGAACCACTATCATCACAGACGGCAATGTCAGTGTTGATACTACTACTCCACTGCGTTGATGACGAAAATTCTACTCAGTCATATTTAGAGCCTTAAATTAAGAAGAAAAGAGTGGATGAGGTGTCTATCACAAGCATTCTGAGGTGCCCACATCTCCAGCTAGTAACCCTCAGTAACCGCTACTACTACTAATAATAAACTGAAACAAAGATGCCCATACAATAATTGATAATGCTGTCGGTGGTCTTTCTGCTTTTTGCTTTCTTCATCCACTGCTTGTTCTCTATTATGTTGCCAAAACAGATTTTCTGTTACCAAAGCGCCAAGATTACACACAGTTCTGTCGATGATTCAACGACCAGCACCTTTTGACTTTACTAATCAGTTTACTGGTACTCACAATCGATAATATCAACACATTTGAGTCATTTCATCTGCCATACAGGTGGTTCTGTATTTTTACTGTTAGCGAAGTTGTGCAACCAGGTATGCAGCTTTTAAACTCAATACATATTAAGCTTTGATTCTAATTGATCAAAGGTATGATACTTATAGTGCTTCTTGGTCACCGATGAGAAGTTCACATTGATCTACTCTTTCCAAGTGACTAGTTTTAACAAGCTAGTTTACGAGGTGTGGTCGTTTTAGTGCTCCCCCATTCAACACATTTCGTAAGTAAGGAGGAGGTTTTGAAGTTCTTTCTCGAGGTTTTTCCACTGAGATAAAGTCAGTTTATGCTGAAAAACATAACTTTCTGATCACTAGTGGGTATCACGAATCCCTAATGCCACCCGAGCAATGGTTTTCCGGTTTGTAGCTGTTGAGCACCGGTAGTACAGTTGGTTAACCGCCACGGTTGCGCTGCGCGAAAAACTCGGATAGATGTGGTTTTGTACGTCGACAGTCTGTTGTATCTCATACGTCGGCTTGTTTTTGAAGTGTTCAAAACACCATTCTATTTGTAGTTTTTTAACAGCACTGGTCATCTCTTGACCCCATAAACAATTCATCTGTTTTGCTTCTGCTCTTTCATTCCACTTCAGCTATTGCAGTATTCATATGTACTCAACTGATTCTCCGAAGCACACCCAGTTTCTCCTCATCTGTTTTTGGTGCTGCATTCCCTCCCACAAACAACAACCCGTATCCCCATTATTTGAATAACTCGACGATGATCGTCATGTCAAGGGCTTTCAGAAGAGCAGCTACACACGTCTTTAAACAGATCATCGTATTACTTGTATTATTATTTTCTTACCTTGAATTAATTACAGAACATTTACTTTTCATCGATTTCATCACGTTACCTGAGCGCCTATCAACAAACTGCCAACAGTCTTGGAAGTTTCCTTTTAGATCCCATCCCCGATCGTTGTTGGAAGTTTTAACTCTGTCCCGAAAACAAACTGCCTTTCATTTTCGCTGGTCGACGGAGCTATGTTTCTGTAGAAACCCACTTGTACCAGTTTTGTGTTTCTTCTCTTTTTCTAAGAGTTTTAAAGAGTTTTCTCTTTCATTTTTGCGCCTCCCCTTCCTACTGTCGCATACTGTGCGCCGAACCCATGCTGGTATTTCATCTGTGGTATTCATCTTACCCCATATCTAGTACGTGATATTCGTACATCACTTGAATTGTGGTTTTCGTGCTTTTACGTGTCCACTGGTTTTTCCTGGGGTTCATTTTAATGGGGAAGCCGTTGTAGATCAAATATTCCACATAATCCACCTACCGACTGCAGTTAACTCTCCTCTTATCCGTTCGTCGTCCAGCCTGTGTGAGGTTAAGCATAGGGTAATCGCTCGTCTGACACTGGCTCGCACTTAGCCCCAAGTACACTATCGATTTGGCGTCCCCTATGTTGAGTTGTTCAGGATTGTAGACACCTCAGAATGCTTACGTGTAGCCTACGCTACTCTTACTTTTTCAATGATTTTTGGTGCGAGCTTTTAAAGCGATAGCCGTTGCCGTTGATTGCTCACCCACAAAACTTGTTCTATCAATCAAAGAGCCTTCAAGTAAGCCAATTCCGCTTCCGAAGGTCGAGCTTCGACTGCGGTTATTTTTTGTCGTTAGACCTAATGGAGCACGATGCCTAATCCCATTTTGTCGGAAAACTTTTAAGAGTGGCTGGTAGGTAGGAGAACTAGTAGCATGCTTTTCAAGGAAACCTGTAGTGGAAAGTTTGTCCTGTACGTGATGCTTGTCCGTACTTAACAGTCGATAAGCACCGGGAATCATTAGCTGTACGTACTTCGAACCCAAGACCGCCAGGCTAGCAGTCAGAGCACTTATCTGTTCGGCCTCTAACTGCTAATCACTATTGTGGTTACCTCGCCCCTGCTGCTTCAGTCACTCGATTCACATCACGTGGGCCCGCGTGTCGACTGTCTTCTCAGAGGGAAGCTTCACTCCGAACTACTCATAGATTGTTGGTAATGTGGAAACGAAACAGCTATTCAGTGCTTCTCAGCTTTCCAGCGTAGCTCGGCTTTAATTGAACAAAAATCCCAAAATCTTTTCACACTGCCAAAAAGCGCCCTGATTAGTTAAGCCCTATTACGAACCCAAAGGTGGGACTTAACATGCACTTCATGTGCTTTCTGTAAAGACTTGGCATCGAGAAACCTGTTTCAGCCGTACAAGTTTGAATAATTTCGGTAATCATAGTTACTCTGAAAGTTCACTTTAATTTTGACAAAGCCTGGTTTAATGGCGTACTGATTAACTTACAATCTGGATATAGTGTGACATCGTTTGGGTGAAAGTTTTTGCATCATTTATCGCAATAACGGGTCCTACTCAAGAATGCGCAGTTTCTTCTGGTTACCTAATAAATCGAACACTCCCGAAGCCGTTGTCCCGGCCCGACTAGGTGTTCGAGCGTGAAGGCTTTCTGACAGAAAGCGTCAACCATACGCAGTGAAAACTGCTACCACACGAGGCGAATACCGGTTAGTCGTTCCCTTTTTGTCTTGGTTACCAATACTTTATAAGAACTTGGAGAGCTTCATTCGTTTGACCGTATTCGAACGTCAATCCAGTTGAGATATCCGTTATCCGCACTGGTACCATGGCTCCTCATCTGGCTTTTCCCTGTGGGCAACTGACGTGCGCCCCAAGCGAGCCGTTTTGCGAGGTTATGGGGATGGAAACTAGTAAAATGCAGTGATTGGTTTACAGTATGGGTTCAGTATTGTATCTTACGGAACGATACTGAGTCAATTCCTGAAAAGCATCGGATATCGCATCGTTTTTTAGGATCATCAACAATGAGCGACTCGCCGATGGTCGGGTTAAGCGTGCTACAGTAGTCCTCTCAGCACTGTGGTAGCCTACATTTTTGCGGCGCTGAAATTCGGTGTTGGCTTCACTGCCAACCCTCTGTAGAAACAGGTCATCAACAATGAGCGACTCGCTGATGGTCGGGTTAAGCGTGCTACAGTGGTCGTCTCAGCACTGTGGTAGCCTACTCTTTTGCGGCGCTGAAATTCGGTGTCGGCTTCACTGCCAACCCTCTGTAGAAACAGCATTCAAGCTTCATGCTGTTATCTGGCTTCTAACCATGTTACTTAAATTTCCCTAGTGGGTATGAAGATTACTGAAACACATCATGCCACTGACCGGCCGGTGAATGACGGTCCCTACTGCGTTGCCATTTTACCGTTTGTTACGACTAGAACCAGATTGTGATAACGGCTTGTGGTTGGTGTTTGGTGAATCCGGACTGCTGCATAACGAGAAGAAAGACTGGATGGGGTTCTACAACGACGTTAAAGGAGTGTAAACCTTAGCATGGATCAAAACAGTCGGTTAGAGTGGTAAGGCTGATTGATGAGTTTGGCCGTACGACATGTGCGTGTGTGTGGAGGTAGTTTAATTGTATGTCTTAGAATCTGTGTCACGCCCAGGTTAACTGTGCGAACAACGGTAAGGAAGTAAGTACGAACGATTAAGTTAATCTCCGTAGGAGTATGATGAGCAATGTTCAAAACATTCCTCCTAAACCGAGTGTTGAGCGGGAGCTTAGGATCGCCCTCCTCTGTCTCCATTGGTGTGTGGAGATCTACGGATCTTAGCATAAGAATATAAGGTTGAATGAGCAGAAATGGCTTGATGTCCAGGAAATGAGTAATGTGGAGCCAACTGTGATATTCCGAGGGTAAATACTGGCTGCACTAAATTTCCTTCAACAGATGTTTTGTTCGTGACGCACTTATTAATATTAGGATATTTTCATAATCTAGACTAGCGCCTACATAGGTGTGAGTCTTGACGTGACTGTGGCATAGCGCTGTAGCGTTCTATCGGTGCCTGGCTGCCATGCCACCCGAGGGAAGTCTGATGGCTGGGATACTGCCAGGTTTCCCAAGCCTACATAGGACAAGTCGAGATGCAGCGATTGGATTCGAACCATGGAACTTCCGGACATTCAATCCGCGCTCTGACCACTGAACTACACCAACAAAGGTACACCAATAAGGACGGATTACGTCCTAATATGCCGGAACGATCGCTGTCAAACATGTGCATGCTCCTAGTACTTCAGGTCCGAATGCAACCTGTCTACATCATTTCAGCTCTCAGTGAAAGAATTATGGCTTAAGCGGTGGGTATAGTCTCTGCAAGAGCCAGTCAGGCGGCTGCTGCTTGATTGATTAGTTTTGTCATTAAAACAAACCATTTGGTTTGTTTGCACAGGACATTCTCGCGCGAGTAGGAAAACCAGTGAGACTAAAAACCAAGATATGGCTGTACAACCGTACCGCTCGGACTGCGTTAGCCCATTACGGCTGAATGGCACCCAGGCACTTGTTATTGATTTGGGGTGTTTACCAGTTGGCTATCCTAGGAAGAAACAAGTAAGCGAGAGCTTGCCAAACAATGAAACGTAAATAGTAAAGCCAGCAACAATGCGTGTAACCACTGGATCAGTATATTGAACATCCCTCCATATCCGTGGGGAACGCGTAGCCCACCGTGTGTCTCTGGCTTGTTCAGTATGTAGTAACTGATGCGGTTGATATATTCGTGCAGTATGTACACTTCCTCATTAAGTCAAACCTCCCACCAGCCCACGCGAATCATTGGTCTTGCTATATGTTCTTATCATTTTAGCTTTTTCTTTCGAACTAAATGGGCTTAGCTGCAGCAGGTTGAAAACTAATGGTAATATGCAAACCAGGTTCAATATATTCACGTCACTGTCAAAGTGTAAGATGTTTACTAATTCGAGTGAGTTTATTCAACAGCTTACTTAGCAACCTTTCTGAGCACCGCCATTGACAGCACAGAACAGCTGTGTACAGCTGTGCTTCGCTGCCGTAAAACCATGATATATTTCAAAGCCTTGTTGCGCTGACAAAGTAAATTGGATGGATAGTGTCGGTCTATCGCAATCATTCCGAGATGACTGTACCTCCAGACACTGAGACAGACTGAGGAGTAGCTGAAATCTACAGCGCCAATGATATCCGTTGGCACCATTTATTACAGCGCCTCCAATGACGCAGGATCACGTACATCCCATACCGGAAAGCAAGTCGCACTGAAAGTACTCGAAATTTTACTGATTTCTTTCGTACTTCTCTGCCACGTCAAACGCTGACCACATCTTCACCTGTGCTACTCTAAAGTGAGCCCGGAATCGGCGCCCATTTGTTTTCAAAGGATGATTCTGACCCAAATGCTGCAGATTTTGGAGCTTGGAACATCTTTTTATTGAGGTTCTTGTGGTACAACCAAACAATAGTTTTCCAAATACCTCTTTACGGATTCGCCGGCACCACCTTTCGTAACCTATGGTCTCGATACAACGATTGTCGAAGTCCTGAAGACATTTCAATTCTGCTGCATGCAGAGGCCACGCCTAACAACAATAAAGCGAAATAGACCAAAATTCTGTAAGATTTATCTTTCAAGGTCTCTAACAGTGAGATCCCTATGACTTAAAACTTCAAATCCTTCGAATCGGTTGGTTTTTATTCAGCTGACTTCCACAAGAGCAAAGGCAGGATTTCATACTCCCAGACTCTGAATGTTGCATGCAACGCGCTGGCTCATTCTACGCTGAATTTCCTGCTCTACTGCTCCACTGTTTTACAACTTAGAGAAGTCGTGTACATCTTTTCACGGGCCTCCAAGGCACGTATCTGGATGCAGTGGGGTAACCAGTGGTGAACTCGTGAATCAGTTGTCGGAGAGTACAGTATTGTGTTTAGAGACTTCGTTAGAAAATGTTGTGAGGATTGCTCCTGACACTATTGTCAACGCAGAAGACACCTCCAATTGACACATGTCTACTATCTTCACAAGGGGCTGAGAAGCGAGTACCGTAGCTTCAAATTGTCCTGGCAACGACTTTAAAAGTTGAAGAAGAGGATTTTTCATTGTGGCACCTATCAAAAAAGGCTTCACTCTGATCTCACGTAGCCTTTTGTATAGCCTAGATATTACAGCGACCGAGGAAGCCGAAACCGATGAATGGGGCCAGACATGTACATGTTGCGATGAATGGCATGGAGTGGGGGCCAAAGTAGTTACCTCAACTAGCGAACCACTGATTCAGAAACACCAACACCGGACCATGTCATAAAGGCTAACTTTTGCGTACTGGAGATGACACACGTGAGAGATATTTGACGATT